CAAAATTGGCGATTTGGGGGGTTTTGGGGTGGGAATTGAGAGTTTTGGGGTTTTGGGTGGGAATTATTTAAAGTTTGGAGGTTTTGGGGTGGGAATTGGAAGTTTTGGGGTTTTTGGGGGTTTTTGGGATGGGAATTGAAAGGTTTTTGGGGTGGGAATTGAAATTTTTGGGGTTTTGGGGTGGGAATTTAAGGATTTTTGGGGTTTTATTTGGGTTTTTTGGGTGGTTTTGGCTTTTTTTGGTGTTTTTTGGGTTTTTTGGGGGTTTCATTTGGGGTTTTTTTAGTTTTATTTCGTGATTTTGGGTGGTTTTGGGTTTTTTTGGTGTTTTTTGGGTTTTTTGGGGGTTTCATTTGGGGTTTTTTTAGTTTTATTTGGGTTTTTTTTGTGGTTTTGGGGTTTTTTTGGGGGGTTTGGGGAGTTTTGGGTTTCTTTGGGGGGTTTTTGGGGTGGGAATTTAAGGATTTTTGGGGTTTTATTTGGGTTTTTTTGGTGGTTTTGGGGTTTTATTGGTGTTTTTAGGGTTTTTTGGGGGTTTCATTTGGGGTTTTTTTAGTTTTATTTGGGTTTTTTGGGTGGTTTTGGGTTTTTTTGGTGTTTTTTGGGTTTTTTGGGGGTTTAATTTGGGTTTTTTTTGTGGTTTTGGGTTTTTTTTGTGGTTTTGGGTTTTTTGGGTGGTTTTTTTTGTGTTTTGGGGTTTTTGGGTGTTTTGGGTGTTTTTTTGTGGTTTTGGGGTTTGTTTTGGGTTTTGGGGGTTTTATTTCGGGTTTTTTTTGTGGTTTTGGGGTTTTTTGGAGGGGTTTGAGGTTTTATTTGGGGTTTTTTGTGTTTTGGGGTTTTATTTGGGGTTTTTTTGGTGGTTTTGGGGTTTTATTTGGGGTTTTTTGTGTTTTTGGGGTTTTATTTGGGGTTTTTTGTGTTTTTGGGGTTTTATTTGGGGTTTTTTTGGTGTTTTGGGGTTTCATTTGGGGTCTATTTATGGTTTTGGGGTTTTTGGGTTTTTTGGGTGGGTTTTTTTTGTGTTCTTGGTTTTTTTTGTGTTTTTGGTGTTTTGGGTTTGATTCGGGTTTCTTTTGGTGTTTGGGTGTTTTTGGGGTGTTTTGGGGTTTTTTTTTGTGTTTTGGGGATTTATTGGTGTTTTGGGAGTTTTATTTGGGTTCTTGGGGGTTTTTGGGTTTCTTTGGGGGGTTTTGAGGGTGGGAATTTAAGGATTTTGGGGTTTTTTGGTGTTTTGGGGATTTTTGGGGGTTGTTTTGGGGTTTTTTGGTGGTTTTTTGTGTTTTGGGGGTTTTTTGGATGTTATTTTTGGGGTTTTTTTTGTTTTGGGGTTTTGGTGTTTTGGGTGTTTTTTTGGTGTTTTTTGGGTGTTTTGGGGTTTTTTGGGGTTTTTTTGTGTTTTGGGGTTTTTTGTGTTTTTCGGGTGTTTTTTGTGGTTTTGGGGGTTTTTTTTGTGGTTTTGGGGTGTTTTGGGTGTTTTTGGTGTGGTTTTGGGGTTCTTTTGGGGTGTTTTGGGGGTTTTTGGGGGTTTTTTTGTGTTTTTGGGGGTGTTTTTTGTGTTTTGGGGGCGTTTTTGGGGTGTTTTTTGGGTGTTTTTTGGGGTGTTTTGGGTGTTTTTGGGGTGTTTTTGGGGTGTTTTTTGGGGTGTTTTGGGTGTTTTTGGGGTGTTTTTTGTGTTTTTGGGGTGTTTTGGGTGTTTTTGGGGTGTTTTGGGTGTTTTTGGGGTGGTTTTGGGGTGTTTTGGGTGTTTTTGGGGTGTTTGGGGTGTTTTTGGGGTGTTTTTGGGGTGTTTTGGGTGTTTTTGGGGTGTTTTTTGTGTTTTTGGGGTGTTTTTGGGGTGTTTGGGGTGTTTTGTGTGTTTTTGGGGTGTTTGGGGTGTTTGGGGTGTTTTTGGGGTGTTTGGGGTGTTTTTGGGGTGTTTTGGGTGTTTTGGGGTGTTTTTGGGGTGTTTGGGGTGTTTTGGGGTGTTTTGGGGTGTTTGGGGTGTTTTGGGGTGTTTTGGGGTGTTTTGGGTGTTTTTGGGGTGTTTTTGGGGTGTTTTGGGGTGTTTTGGGGTGTTTTGGGTGTTTTTGGGGTGTTTGGGGTGTTTTTGGGATGTTTGGGGTGTTTTTGGGGGTGTTTTGGGTGTTTTTGGGGTGTTTTTGGTGGTTTTGGGTGTTTTTCGGGTGTTTTGGGGTGTTTTGTGTGCTTTTGGGGTGTTTTTGGGGTGTTTTTTGGGTGTTTTTGGGGTGTTTTGGGGTGTTTTTGGGGTGTTTTGGGGTGTTTTTGGGGTGTTTCGGGGTGTTTTTGGGGTGTTTTTGGGGTCTCACCCCTCGTTTCCCCGTGCCAGGTTCCGGCGTTCGAAGGCGATGACGGATTCTGCGTCTTCGAGAGCAACGCCATCGCCTACTATGGTGGGTTAATTAGCCTGATTGAGCCCTTAATTAGCGCTAATTAGCTCTGGGGTCCATTTCTCTGGGTTAATTAACAGCCCCTGGGTTAATGAGTTAACCCTTTGCTGCCCTCAGCGAGCTCTTTGACAGCTGCTGAACGATCTCTCTCTGCTCCTTAACGAGTTCCTCCCCTAATTAACGACTCTTTTGGCTAATTAATTATTCTTCTGGCTAATTAATTATTCTCCTGGCTAATTAATTATTCTCCTGGGTTAATAATTAACCCCTCAGTGAGAGGAGCTGCGGGGCAGCACCAACATCAATCCTCCCTTGGTGAGCGTCCCTTAACGAGATCCTTATTGTGTCCCTTATCTAATTGACAAATCGTTTACCTAATTAACAATTCTCCTGGTTAATTAAAGCCCCTCCTGGCTAATGAGTTAACCCTTTCCTGCCCTCAGTGAGCACGGAGGAGCTCCAACATCAATCCCCCCATAGTGAGCGTCCCTTAACGAGTTCCTTTGCTCCTTACCGGGTCTGTTACCTAATTAACAATTTTCTTGGCTAATTAACGACCCTCCTGGCTAATTAATGATGGTCCTAATTAACGAATTAACCCTTTCCTGCCCTCAGTGAGCACGGAGGAGCTGCGGGGCAGCACCAACATCAATCCCCCCTTCACTTCCTTTCCTCCTTACCGTGTCTCTTATCTAATTAACGAATCTCTTACCTAATTAACGATCCTCCTGGCTAATTAATGATGGTCCTAATTAACGAATTAACCCTTTCCTGCCCTCAGTGAGCACGGAGGAGCTGCGGGGCAGCACCAACATCAATCCCCCCCTTAGTGATCATCCCTTAACGAGTTCTTTATTGTGTCCCTTATCTAATTAACGATCCTCCTGGCTAATTAACGACCCTCCTGGCTAATTAACGACCCTCCTGGTTAACGAATTAACCCCTTCCTGCCCTCAGTGAGCACGGAGGAGCTGCGGGGCAGCACCAACATCAATCCCCCCTTGGCTGAATGTCCCTTAACGAACTCCTTTACTCCTTACCGTGTCCCTTATCTAATTAACAAGTCCCTCCCCTAATTAACCATTCTCCTGGCTAATTAACGACCCTCTTGGCTAATGAATTAACCCTTTTTTGGCTGCAGTGAGCACAGAGGAGCTCCAACATCAATCCTCCCTTAGTGAGCGTCTTTGTTCCTAAACGAACTCCTTTACTCCTTACCGTGTCCCTTATCTAATTAACGACCCTCCTGGTTAATTAACGACCCTCCTGGCTAATTAACGACCCTGCTGATTAACGAATTAACCCCTTCCTGCCCTCAGTGAGCACGGAGGAGCTGCGGGGCAGCACCCCCGAGGCGGCGGCGGCCGTGCTGCAGTGGGTGAATTTCGCCGACAGCGACGTGGTGCCCCCGGCCAGCACCTGGGTGTTCCCCACGCTGGGAATCCTGCACTACAACAAACAGGTCAGGCGGGAATTCCGGGAATTCCGGGAATTCCGGGAATTCTGGGGGGGTTGGGGAGCGGTTTTGGGGTTTTAGGGGATTTTTGGGAGATTTTTTTGGGGTTTTTTGGGAGGATTTTTCTGGGTTTTTGGGGGAATTTTGGGAGATTTTTTTGGTTTTTGGGGAAGATTTTGGGAGATTTTTCACATTTTCGGGAAGATTTTGGATTTTTTGGCATTTTGGGGAAATTTTGGGAGATTTTTTGGGTTTTTGGGGAAAATTTGGGAGATTTTTTGGCATTTTGGAGGAAAGTTTTGGAACTTTTTGGTTTTTTGGGGAAGATTTTGGGAGATTTTTTGGGTTTTTTGGGGAATTTTGGGAGATTTTTTGGGTTTTTTGGGGAAGATTTTGGAAGATTTTTTGGAATTTTGGGGGAAATTCGGGAATTCTGGGAATTCTGGGAATTCTGGGGGGGTTGGGGAGGGGTTTTGGGGTTTTAGGGGATTTTTGGGAGATTTTTTTGGGGTTTTTTGGGGTTTTTAGGGAGGATTTTTCTGGGTTTTTGGAGGAATTTTGGGAGATTTTTTGGAATTTTGGGGGAATTTTGGGAGATTTTTTGGAATTTTGGGGGAAATTCAGGAATTCTGGGAATTCTGGGGGGGTTGGGGAGGGGTTTTGGGGTTTTAGGGGATTTTTTGGGGTTTTTTGGGGTTTTTAGGGAGGATTTTTCTGGGTTTTTGGAGGAATTTTGGGAGATTTTTTGGGGTTTAGGGAAAATTTTGGGAGATTTTTTGGCATTTTGGAGGAAAGTTTTGGAACTTTTTGGTTTTTTGGGGAAGATTTTGGCAGATTTTTTGGGTTTCTGGGGAAATTTTGGGAGATTTTTCACATTTTCGGGAAGATTTTGGATTTTTTGGCATTTTGGGGAAATTTTGGGAGATTTTTTTGGGTTTTAGGGAAAATTTTGGGAGATTTTTTGGAATTTGAAGAGAATTTTGGGAGATTTTTTGGCATTTTAAGGAAGATTTTGGGGAAGATTTTGGGAGGTTTTTGGCATTTTGGGGAAATTTTGGAATTTTTGGGGGAAAATTTTGGGAGATTTTTTGGAATTTTGGGGGAATTTCGGGAATTCTGGGGGGGTTTTGGGAGATTTTTTTGGTGTTTTGGGGAGTTTTTGGGGGATTTTGGGAGATTTTTTTGGTGTTTGGGGTGGGTTTTTTGGGATTTTGGGAATTTTGGGAGGTGTTTTGGCATTTTAAGGAGAATTTTGGGAGATTTTTTGGCATTTTGGGCAAGATTTGGGAGGTTTTTTGGTGTTTTGGGAGGTTTTTTTTGGCATTTTGGGGAAAATTTAGGTTTTGGGGTTTTTGGGGGGGATCTCAGCGTGGATTTTGGGGGATTTGGAGTTTTTGGGGGTCTCAGGGTGGGTTTTGGGGGGATCTCAGGGTGGTTTTTGGGGATCTCAGGGTGGGTTTTGGGGTTTTTTTGGGATCTCAGGGTGGATTTTGGGATTTTTTGGGGATCTCAGGATGGTTTTTGGGGATCTCAGGATGGTTTTTGGGGATCTCAGGATGGTTTTTGGGGATCTCAGGGTGGTTTTTGGGGTTTTTTGGGGATCTCAAGGTGGTTTTGGGGTTTTTTGGGGATCTCAAGGTGGTTTTGGGGTTTTTTGGGGAT